TGTTAAATGTTAAATTTGCTTTTCCTTACTATACATCTTGGATATTCTCTATCACCCCAACTGGTGTGTTTGAAGGAAAAGTAACCTATGCTGGTTAGATACATTCAAATACAATATTATGTGTCTTAGACAGAAGAGTGTTGTTCCTTATACACCAGACACTATTTCTACTGCTTTACAAATATTAAGTAGTTTAAATATTACAAAGTCCTCTGAGGCAGATATTCTTATTATTCTAGTTTTACAGCTGAGGAAATTGAAACATAGAGAGGTAATATACTCCAGGTCACACAGTGAGTAAATAATAGAGCCAGGATTCAAATATAGGCCACCTGTCTCTAGCGTTCATGCACCTAACTGCTCTTCAGTACTACTTCACTAATAACAACAACTGGGTGGGGTGGGGGACAGAGGTGGAATAGTAGGGTACTAGAGATTGAACCCAGGACTTTGCTCATGCTAAGCACATGTTCTACATCCCCAGCCCCAGTAATAATGTTTAGGTTGTTTCCTTCCAAATCTCCCTGCAAATCAGAAGACAATTCAGATTTACCTTGCAGGGCACCATGTACACAGTAGTCTATAAATCCAACCCTTTTTCTGAAATCAAGTCCTCATTTAAAGAAGCAAGACTTTTGACTCTGAAATAAAACCATCTCATATAAATTGCCCCTCTAGGTTTGGCATACCACCCTCTGAATAAGAGTTTGTAGCAAATTTTCTCAAACTGTAGGTATGACACATAGTATTTTCAATATCAGAACATTATAATGAGCTTGATTCTTCATAAAATCCTTATGATATCCAAATAACATTTGATAGTAATTTGTCTTTAAGACTTCTGAGTTTATTAGATTCCCTATATAAATTACCTACAAAGCAAAGCACAAAGTCTCATTTTCTCTCCAAAATCAATACCCCAAGATTGATATACTGAGTTAGCAAATAAATAAGCATTGTTTTATTTCATGTTGTTAAAGATTTTCATTGCATGTATTTATTTTTCCTGATGTCTAAGGTTGTTTTGAAATCAGTATATAGTTTTCAATTCTTTGACCAGTTTACTATGTCATCTAACTTCCTTAAAGAGTGGTAGTTTAGCTGGGTGAAGTAACACATGCCTGTTATCTTAGCCTCTCAAGAGACTGAGGTAGGAAGATCAAATTTAAAGGCAAAAAAAAAAAAAGTTCAAGGCCAGCTTGGGCCACTTAGTGAGACCTTGTCTCGAAACACAAAGTAAAAAGCGTTAAGGATGTGGAGTGGGGGACGTGTTTACTGTGAGCTAATACAAGGATAATATGAAATTTCATCAATTTCTTGGTGTAACTCCAGCACTACAACTTCCAATTATGCTCCCATCATGTGCCGGATACTTTTCTAGAAAATAAATACACAGAAGTAAATAAGAATGGATTCCCTGCCATTGAGGAGCTCAATGGTTCAATGTTTCTAGGACATGTACTAGATTTCTTACTTGCATCATAAATGGTAGTTCAAAATCCTGCCACCAAAATATAGGAATATTTGGCACTATTTCCTCTAAATTCATGCATCACCATGAGGGACTCATCTGAATGTTCAACTGCTAGGTCTATGCCCCTTTTCACTTACTCTCAGGATTTTCTGGGAACTGGTCTAATGTTATGATTCTTTAAAATACATGGGATGGCATCTGAAATGAACAGACATTTCTCAGACAAAGAAGTAGAAATAGCAAATAAATACATGAAAAAATGTTCAACATCACTGGTCATTCAAGAGGT